CCCGCAGCCCTCAGGCCCCAGGAACCCAAAAGACCAAGCTGGTGTCCGAATTCTCCAGCACTGTGATTGCAGAAAGACCAGTAGGGGGTGGCGTTCGCAAACAGACCTTTATTCTCTCACAGTTTAGGACAAGGGAGGTCCAAGGGCAGAGCACCAGCTGCTGGGGAAGGAGCCCTCTCTCTGTCCGCTCTGGCGGAAGGAGCTTCTGCTCCCGGGTGCTCTTTCCTGAGCCCAGCCTCTCCCTTCTCTCCAGTTCGCCTGTTTCATTTACTTCTTATCACACCCCAGACACCAATCCTGTCTCACGAACATAACAAAGAACATTCTTTTCCTAGCGGGGTTTTAACCAGAGGCTAGAGGTTGGGAGCAGATGAAAACACATCACACAGAACTCCTCAACAAACCAAACAAAATCAAGCTCAAGGCCCTCCATCCCAGATACAAAAAATATGCAATGACCGCAGCACAAGCAAATCACAGGTGGGGCTTCACAGCCAACGTGCTCGTCTGAGGAAAGGGAAACCAGACGTGCAACAGGGCAGAGGCATGATCTAAGGCGAGGGCAGAAATGAAGGGAGATGGATGAAGCCTCTGGGGACCTAGTTGAGATGCTCAACCAATCCAATAAACACACGGTTAGCATTTCAGGAGTCAAGAAAGCGTGCGCAGCTGTGTTCTAGAAACTGACAATCACTAGTGGAATTGACTTGAGTCTTTGTTCCATAATTTCATGCCAACTTGATATAGGAACGTGTAGGGGTGGAGTTTAGCTCGTCAATCAGGCTGTGGCCTGATGGTGACTCCTTGTGGGTGGGCGTGGCCTTCTTATAAGGAAGGTCCTGGGAACCTCCCCTCTTTCTCTGCCTTCACCTTCCTGTTGAAGAGCCATGCCAGCCCTGTGATGCGTCCACCGCCAGCCACTGGACCCACGAGACTTTCCCCCCACTGGCTTGTGATCTTCCTGCATTCTGCATCATGGCACGGGGCTGTGTGAGTCTCAAGAGGGATTTATGGACTAGTATCGGACTTGTGGACTTGGTCTGGGCTGGTATGTTTTCCTGATGCGTGATGACTTCTTGATATAAAGCTCTTTCCTATACATATATGAGTGCCAATGAATTGGTTTCTCTCGTCAACCGAGCCTAACAGTCGAGGCGTAGTGAATTACCTGCTCAGTGGAGAAGCAGAAGGGGTACCTGGCACACCCTCTACCCAAAGCCACATATCTCCTGAAAGTCTTTGCTCAGTGGCAGTCCCAGACACAGCTGGGCACTCTTGGGGCATCCTGTCTTGCTCTGCCTGGTGAGTTCTGGCCGCTTTAGCACAGCCCCTACGACTCTCTTCTCTAACTGCCTTCTTCCGTGTTGGGTGTGAAAGCTCTCAGCTCCCTGTCCACCTTCCTCCATCCTGCACCTGCCGTCATTCCATCTGCCACTTGGGAGCACCTCATAGAATGGAGCACCCCCCAGCATGCAACCATCGCTGGCTCCCCGGTACCCATGACATGATGTCTACTTCCTTGTCCTGGTCCTCACGGCTGCTCTCTGATGCTTTCTAGATGCACTTCCCAGGACTCTGCTCGGGAAACTCTCCCTCCGGTTCAGAGCCCAGTGGACATTCACTCAGTTGTGCAGGCCTCCAGGGTCTGCCGTCCTGCTGGACACCCCTCCCCTGCTCCTACCAAGACACAGTGATCTCACCAGTCCTCGGACCTGCCCCCAACGCTCTGTCTTCCTGGGGCCACTGGGGATGGGATGGGGCTCTGCCCTCCCCCATGTCTCCGCCTGCCCATCCCCAGCACCTCCATGGTGGAGCCTCATTTCTGATGTGCCCGTGTTGCCTGTCCCACTAGATTCTGGGCAGTGGCACTGGGGCGGCTCCCGGGACGTGAGTGGACAGGAGCGGCCAGCCTCAGCCAGTTCCTCATGAGTCCTTCTCAGGGAACCACTTGGGGCACTGCCCCACCCTCTGGCACCAGCAGGTAAACTGAGGTTGGGGGGAGGACCAGGCCTGACACTTCCCAAAGCCTGAGGAGCGGGGTGGGCACTGACCTTTGACCCTGTCGCCGCGGTGCAGGGGGATCTCGCCACCGACCTGGGGTTGATATGGCTTGACAACGATGAAGAGCCGCCCGGGGACAGCGCTGTACAGCTTCCGCTTGGGGCCCGGCTGCTCAAAGGCGGACAGTGGGTCCTTGCTGGCACCAGGAGGGGGAGTGGGCCTGAAGGGGGCAAGGGAGAGAGAGAGAACGGGTCACACAGGGTGGAGCATCCTCGACCACTCACCACGGCCAAGCCTTCCCAGCCTGAGTGTGGCCAGAGCACCTTGTCCTTGTGGTTCTGGGCAAGCCGAGGGGTGGGGGCAGCCTGTGACAAACAAACCCTGGACATCCACACTTGGCCCTGAGGGCAGGCACAGCGGTCACCCTACCTGAGCATCCACTGGATCCCAGAGGTGGCCGGAGATACGCCCATGGGAGGCTCTTAAACTCACTCTCCCTTTATGGGTTCACCACCCACGTTTCCACTCATCCTGTACCATATATCCACCCGAATTCAGAAGGACCCCAGAGCGGCCCTGCTGGCCAGGCCCTGTCTTGTGCGTTGGACTGGGCAGTCCCCTCGTCCCACTTGCAGGTGGTCTAGGCTGACAGCGAGAAGTCAACATTCCACCCTCTGCACAGAGGCTGCACAGATGCCCCCCCAGGCGCCACCCAGCTGGACTCAGGGGGTGTGGTGGACTCCAGGAAGCAGACCCAGTGACCAGAGCACAGACTGGGGGAGCTCTTTCTTGGTCCACTCTGCCAAAGCCAACTCCAAGACCACCATCCCAAGGCCTCGAGGGTCTGCGTCTGCAAGAATAGGAAGGGGGTTGCAGAGCTGTCTGGATGGGTGCGTTTACTCCGAGCAGAGTGGTGACTTGCTAGGCTGCTAACCTCAAGGCCAGCAGTTAGAAACCACCAGACACAAAGCAGGAGAAAGATGAGGCTTTCTACTTCTGTAAAGAGTTTTGTGCAAAGGTCCCACCCCAGCTTGCTGACCCCCACCCAGGGCTCCCTGCAGGCCTCCTGATCCACAGGAGAGAGGGTCAGGGCAAAGATGCGCCATCCCCAGGGATACCCTGCCTCCTACTCTTCTCGGGCAGGTCTGGCGCATGCCCCAGGTACACCTGGGGGGGGGGGGCGGTGCCACTTAGCATGGCCCACTCCAGGGCCAGTGGTGAGCAATCACTCTGCAAGCTCACACTGACACCGTCTTCTTGGAGCGCCTCTGTGGGTCCAGGCAGGCCCTGCCATCTTGCCTTGCTGCATGCTAAGGAAGAAAACTAACCACCCCCCCCAAACAAACCCCAATCCCTGCCACCAAGTCAATGCGGATTCAGAGAGACCCTATGGGAGAGGGTGGAACCTACCCTGGGGTTCCCGAGACATCACTGGGGTAGAAAGCTCTGTCTTTGTCCCACAGAGCGGCTGGTGGTTTTGAACTGCTGGCCTCACAGGCAGGGCTCCTTAAAGCTAGAGGACACCGGGAACAGGGACCCAGAGCCTATCAGCACCCAGTGCTCATCGGGGAACGTGGGAAGGTACAGCTGTCATTCTCATGGGGCCACCGTGGGTGAGGGGAAGCTGGGTGCGCTGATGAGATGGTCTAAGTTATCTGATGATAAGGAGGGGTGGTCTCCGTGTCTGTCCAGAGTGCCCCCGGTGGGGGCGTCAGGAGGGAGGTGGCATCTCTCCAGGGAGAGGAGGCATGCTGACAACAGCCTCACTTGTCCCACCTGCACAGTGAGGGTGTGTCTGAGGCTACCCCACCCCAAATTGGGAAATAACCACCTCCACCACCACCCAAACCCACGACCGTGGCCCCCAGTCCACGTTACAGCCACCCTCAGTGGCTGAGTGGAACTGCCAAGGCCGTGCAGCTCCAGTGGAGCAGACAGCCTCATCTTTCTCCCAAAGGAGCAGCTGTGGGCTTGAACTGCCGACCTTGCAGTTGGCGGAGCCATCTCAGCTCCTCTAGCCTAGAGAAACCTGATGGGAGTCCCCACACGTGCTGGCAAGAGAGAGCTAAGTGACTGAGTTCTCGCTATGTGAAAATTGGCGTTCAACTGCCAGAGAAGCGCCAATGAGCCAATTAAGTCCTTTTCCAACTGCACTGGGTAAGGGCGCGCCTGCCTCCTCCCGGATTTGACTCATTCACTCTCTCTCTCTCTCTCTCTCTCTCTCCCTCTCTCTCACATACACACTTTCACTCACTCATTCACTCATTCTCACACTCTCATTTACTCACTCACTCATTCACTCATTCTCACACTCATTTACTCATTCACTTTCTCCTTCACTCTCATACTTACACACTCACTCACTTGTTCATGCTCACACTCACTCATACTTTCTCATTTACTTATTCACTCTCTCACTCACACTTTCACACCCTCTGACTCCCTCTGACACTCATTCACTCTCACATCACTCATCCAACTCACACACTCATTCACTCCTCGATCGCTCCCATACACGACATGATTACTTAACCCATCACGTGGTCACTGGCCGCTCCTGTGGTAGTTCCTGTGGTCCCTCACTCACCCATCAGTCACAAGCCCACGGATAGATCGGTCATTCATCTGCTTATGTGACAAACTACTGGATGGTTCCACCCTATGCATGGCCCTGCCCCGGTCTGTGGACGCCGTGTAGATACACAGAAAGTCTGTGGACAGCAGGCAGTATAAACAGGAGTCGCTCTTCTGCCCACTTGAAGGGTCAGCCGGGCGGGCGCACACAGAGTGGAGACCCCCAAGTCGGATGAGGTGAACCCTGTCAGGCTCTTTCTGGAGAAGGGGGAAGAAGGGAGGTGGCTCTGCAGGGCGGTTAGGGCAAGACTCGGGAGATCAGACAGGTGCAGAGACCAGATAAGGGCTGCAGTCACCCTGAGTGTGGTGTCAGGGCTGGGAGGGAGAGGACGGAGGCTGGAGGCAGCCGCCCCAAGGGGAGGCCAGTGGCCATCTCAAGGGGAACGAAAGGGCAGCGCTGAGGACCTGAGAGAAAGAGACCAAGAAGCTTAGTCACCTGTACCAGCACCTCTCTTGGCTTGCCCCTCTTCCCACTCCATCCTGCCCCAGGCCTCCTTGAGTCCTGGGGGACCATAAACAGGGTCTGTCAGTCTCCAGGCTGCTGGCCCAAAGTGTAGAGGTTCGAGTTCCCCCATCAGTGCCTTCAAAGACAGGCCTGGAGACTCATGTCTGGGGACCCTACCACCTAGCACCAGTGACACATTCTGCTCTACCACCCACAGGGGGCGCTGTGCCACCCACCAGCCTGAGTTCAGGGAAACAAAGCCACATGGTACAGTTGGGCAGCAGTGGCCTTACCAACAGGCCTGGAAGGCAGTGATGCCCACCTCAGGGTGCGCTAGTCCCTAGGCTTCCCTGGAAGCCAGTGGCACCGGAAGAACATGCAGGCCTGAGATGAGAGTCAGGGGGCTGGGGCAACACTGGGAGGAGCAGGTGGCATGAGCCACCTCAGGTGCCCATGGATCTACAGATGGAGTCCGAGGGGCCTCCCTGGGGGTCTGTGCAGTGAGGGGAGTGAAGACCAGGCTGGTGCTGGGCCTTAAGGTCTGGCCTCATATTAAGGGGGAAGACCTCACTTCCTGTCCACTCTGACTGCCCACCCAGCCTCAACCTGAGCATCCTCATAGTCTACTCTCATCTGGATCTCCCTTCAGGAGAGTCTTTGCCTCCCTGGGATTTGGCTCCCTTTGGCTGGGCCCCATGGGGCTGGGGGAAGGGTGGGCAGCAGGGAGGGTCCCAGCCACCTCTGGTCCCCCTGCCTCTGCCCCACAGTGTTTGCCTGGAGGCTGGTGTCTCTCTAGCCAAGTATGCAGCACCCTCCTAGACCAGGTTTTCTGGACCCTCTTGTGCATGCACACACAGAGGGTGGGCATGCTCATGCACACGCACAGGAAGCTAGGGACTGTCACGGGGTGTCCTCCGATGGGCTCTTCTCTCCGCACAGGCAATTTTGCGCTGGAAGCTGTGGCCAGCCCCTGGCCCCCCTGCCTTCATTATCTTATTACCTCCCATACTGGGGAGGGGGCTGGGCACATCTAAAATTACAGTCATCATTTCGGCTGCGGTGTGAAGTGGAACCTGCTGCCACTGGGGAATCCTTTTAATTTAGCTTTAAACTGTTTGTAGCCCCTGGGATCGCTCCTGTGGGGCCCTCCAAGCGAGGATGTAGTCCAGAGCCAAGAACTGGATCTGGTTTCCTCCTAGGAACCGGCTCAGGGGCTATGTCCCTGCCCTCAAGTGCTGGCGTGGGCTGGGGGAGTCCCGGGGCCTGCTGGTGGGCAAGGAGGCTTGGGCACCAGCTACATGTGCCCACAGCTGCTGCTGCTGGAAGCCCTGGCCTGCTGGCGCCTTCCGGATTCTCTGTGAAGCGGGGCACCCACCTAGGGTGCCCCCAAAGCCCTCCCCACCCTCCCCCACAGCGTGTGGAAGAGTACGGCTGCCCCTCTCTTCACCCCATCTTAGCTGGACCCTGCACAGTGTGGACAAGCCCGGGTCCTTCAGAGGTGGGGACAGGACAGAGTAAGAGACAGGTGTGGCTGAAGCAAGAGGCTCTCTCCCTCCCTCCCACCTTCCCTTCCTCCCTCCCTCTCTCCCTCCCTCTCTCCCAGAGTCAAAGGGCTTCTGGTTGCAGAGCCCTGCTCCCTGCTCCGGTCCCTGGGCTACCAGCCCCCTGAGGAGATGGCCCATCTGGCCAAAGAGGGAGCCTGGTGGAAGTCCCTTCTCCACACCGGTTGTGTGGCCTGGGGCAAATGGCTGTCCCCCCACCCCCCCACCCCCAGCGCCTCAGCAGAACCAGTTTGTGGGAGCCCAGCCACAAGAAACAGCCCTTTAGGCCAACAACTGGTTGGGCTCAGAAGGCCTTTACTCACTGGAGGGGTTCCAGAAAGTGACGGCATGGGGAGCCTCCCTATCCCCCACCCCCTTGCTGCTCAGGATGGGGAGCAAGCTGGGAGGACACACACAGAGGACACAAAGCCCTGGGCAGTAGTCCTGACACAAGTCCCACACCTGCCCTCCAGGAGGGGGCGCCTGCCGCCAGCCTGGGCACTGGATACAAAGTATCCACTTCAGGGCTGGCCTGAGGGTGGAGCAGCCACTGAGCTCAGGCCAGGCCTGCACACACCCTAACGGCCCGCACAGCTTCGGCGGCCCAGCTCTGCCAGCATTCCCCCCGGCACCTGAGTGGGCATGGGTTTCTGACACACCTGTGCCCCCTGCATGCCGGGCCATGCAGGTGCGACGAACCCCCTGGGCAGGGCTTTCTGCTGACCCTGCCCCGTCCTGAGTGGTCATCACTACCAGATAGTACCCAGGATGGTGCCTTCAGGTGGTGTCACAGGGCCACCGGGCAGACACATCTTCAAGCGCCCTCAACAGCTGACCTTGAAAGGTGCAAGTCTGAGAAACCAGGCTCACCATTCATGACATTGGCCTCTCTTTGGGACAAGAGGGAGCCCCACCACCCTGCCCGCCTCAGGCAGACCCTGGCCGCTGCCAGCTCCTAGGTCTGCATCCCGGAGAACTCCCAGCCCCGCCACCCTGCCAGCCCTGACCCGCTCCTTACCCAACATGCCAGAGCTGCTGGGGTCTCTTGCCATCCTCGCCGGCGCCGCCCAACCTGTTGAGCGATGGGGACCGGCTGCGGGCTCCCGAGGTGTAGCCCCCGAGGGTCTTCACTGCGCCCTCAGGGGTGCTGGGCACCTGCTGCAGCAGCTGGGGTGAGAGGCTGCGGTGGGAGGGGGCCGCAGAGCAGACGGCCCACTCGGGGGCACCCACGTTGAGGTTGTTATCGCTGTTGGAGCGGAGCAGCACCCGGGGAGCGGCCAGCGTGTTGGGGGGCCGCCGCCTGTGGTTGGAGTATGCCGGGACCTCTCGGAAGGGCACTGAGGGAGAGACAGGGAGAATCAGGGTGAGGCCAGGATGGCCTGGGGGTGCTGCCAATGCCAGGCTGGGTGAGGCTGGTGCAGCAGGCAGGCACTGCTCTGAGCCGGGACACGGGCAGGCAGGGTCTGCCTCCACCCCTCACCCCGTGCAGATGCTGCGAAGGAGAAGCTGGCTGTGAGTTCTGTGGGGGGCCCCGGCTGGACCCCACAAATGCAGAACTCATCTCGCACAGAAGCAGAGACCCAGGGCAGGGGCTGAGCATGCCCCCAAGTCATGGAGGGCAAGCTGATGCCGGGATGGAAGGCTCTCAGGCCGAACTTCCATCAGGCCGGCCATGCCCCCTCCGCAGCCCGGGAGGCTGCCAGCCGCCCCAACCCGGTGGTGAGGGGCTGCCCAACTCACAAAGCAGGGGGCAAAGGGGGCGGGGGTGCTAAAGCTGCCACAAATTGCCTCCCTGGGAGACAGACAGGCTCGAGGGAGGCGACACAGCGTCCCCAGACAACTGGGAGTGCAGAGACCATGTGACCCGGCCTTCTTCCTACTGGGGATACACCCCACAGAAACCAGGAACGCAGCACGAGCAGATGTCGGCACCCCCTGTCCACACTAGCAAAGAGAGGGAAACAAGGCTCATGCCCGTCTGTGGCGGCCGGGGGATCAAGACACTTTGACTCCAGAACCCCAAACTCAGTGTCATGGGGTCGGTCCTGACTCCCAGCGATCCGAGAGGACAGGGTGGGCCTGCTCCTGGGGGTGTCTGAGAGGCCACTCTTTACGGGAGTAGAAAGTCTCATCTTGTTTCCACAGAGCAGCTGGTGGTTTTGAACTGCTGACCTTGCAGATCATAGCCTAGTGCATAATCACTACTCCACCAGGGCTTCTCTTTACGGGAGTTCACAGTCTCATTTTTCTCCCACGGAACAGCTGGTGGTTTCGAACTGCTGACCTTGCCATCAGTAGCCCAGCTCGTAACCAGGATGCCAGCTCGTAACCATGAGGTGTTTCTCGTGGAGTACTATGCACCCCTGAAGAGTGATGATGAGTGTGTCAATGCCCCATGACATGGGCGGGCATGGAAATTAGGATGCAGGGCTAGGCTATCCAGTGCCCCAAGGAGAAATACTGTTGAGCCCACTAGTATAAATGAAGAAAAAATCAAGAAAGAAAGGTTTTCATGTTAAAAGAAATTGATGCTTCTGGGGAAGGTGGGGGAGGGGGCGGACAAGAGGGGGGAAGGAAAGGGAGGGATATAGGAGCAAAAACCAAATAAACAAAAACATATAAACATAAAAGTTTCTCCTGGACGTGGTCCGAGGAGTCCTGGTGACATAGTGTTTATGTCTTGGGCTGCTGGTAGCAGTTGACCACACAAGGTTACCAGTTCAAGCCCCCAGCTGCTCAGAGGGATAAAGATGAGGCTTCCTACTCCTGTAGAGAGTGGCAGTCTCAGGAACCCACAGGGAAGGGCAGCTCTACCCTCCTGTAGGGTTGCTGTGAGTCCATGTGGACTCGAGGGCAGTGGGTCTGTAAGTGGCTTGAAGGTGACCTTCCAGCTACTGGGCTCCAGTGGTCTGTCTACCTGGTTCTGATTCAGGGGTCCACGTGTTATAGGGCAGGACCGACCCTCGGGGGTTCCTGGTCTTTCTGATGGAGCCATGGCAAACTGCCCGCCACACCCAGGCTCCTGCTGAATCAGTTTACCGGCCCCCTCCCCACCTACCCCCAGCCTGCGCCCTGCACCAAACAGAGAGCCCACCGCTGGGGACAGGATGGACGCTGGCTCTCTGGTTGCCCATCAGACAGCAGTGCGGGCGCTGCCTCTGTCCCCAGAAATGGCTCACGACATGGAGCGCTCAAAGCCATGGCACCACACAGCCGCAGTCATGGGCTGCCCCCTCGGGTCTCCACCACGGGCACTCCTGTCCCCTTGGATCTGCACCAGAACCATCCTTGTCCCCGTGACCACTAGGGCCACCTTGGACAGATGTCATGGGTCCTGAGGAAAGACTTTCTATAACTCCAAGTGGAAGGCAAAGGGGTTCTGATACGCAGCAGGGACACCTCACTGCCCGGCTGCTGAGGGGAGAAGATCTTAGTGGGGGACATCATGACCACAGGGGCTGTACCCCTTCAGCATGCCTGGGAACCTGGCCTGACACCAGCCCCCACTCCATGGCTATTCATGGACTGGGCAACAGTGCTCAGCAGGGACAGGGTGTCCCTGGTGAATATCAGAGGGGACAGGGGCAGCAGAGGCAGGCCTCTGCCCCAGGGCATTCCCATGCCCCTGCCACCTCCCATGCAAGACCAGCCTGGGTCCCAGAGCAGCGACCCCCCCACAGGCAGTGACTGAGCCAGCATGTGGCTCCTGAGAGTCAGGGCTGGGGTCCAGCTGCAGTGAGGACAGTGCCATTACTAAAGGACACCTGGGAGTGGGGTCCCCCAGCCGGGCAGCAGCTGCCCTCTCTGTGCCGGTGGTCCAGGAAAGCTCCTCCTGTGCCCCTCACCCCCCATCCCTGCTTCCAGCTGGCCAGAACAGGGCAGGAGCACGATGGGCGGGCTGCCCGGACCTAGTGGACGCCTCTCTGTGGAGCCCAGGGCCTATCCTCCCTGCCGGCCCCAAAGCCTGGAACCCAGGGCCCTTAAGGAGGCCTCTGGAAAAGAGGAGACACAGGCTAGTCACAGACGCCTAGAAGGGGCTGCCTGACAAAGATGAGAGGAGGTGGGCGGACGCCCTGGGTCCACGGCCCTTCTCTCCCTGTCACAGAGCCACCCCGTTGGAGGACGGTCACACAGCTGTAAGCCGAAACCTGATGGGACGCCTGCGGTTCAGGAGCCCCTCTCTCCACATGGGGCCTCCAAACCTTCGGAGTTGGCCCCAGCCAAGCCATGCTGGGATCCCTGCTGTGGCCACCTGGCTGGGCCTCCCAGCAGCGGGCACATTCCACCCTCCCCTCGACTACCCAGCTGGGTACGAGCACCCCGGTGGGTGGGCAGTGGTGGAATTTGGGGGACTTCTCCAAAAGGCTGGGGAAGCAATGCCCAATGGTAGAACAGAAGAGGGCAGCAGCAGCTTCCCCCCACAACCCCGTGTGCCAGGCTCGGGCCACCCAGGGGCAGGAGGAGCACAGCTGTGAGGGCGTGTCCCCGACATCCAGGCGGACTTCCTCAGGGACGGTCAGGGGCGGGAAAGCAACTCCACTAGGGCCTGTGAGGATGAGGTGCCTCGGAGGAGGAAGCCGGGACGGAGCCAGGGCGCCTCAAACCCTTTCCCTGGGTGCCCTGAGCTTTCTGCCCCAGAGTCACACGGGTGATATTGAGGGTGAGCATTTTAATGAAAATCACCCACTTAACTACCGAGACTCCTATTACGGCACCCTCCAGGGCCACTTAATTGGACATTTCTTTGCTGAGGCCGGGTGCCAACGGTGGGAGGAGGGCCAGGCCCAGGAAGCTGCTGGCCCCTGAGTCGCAGCACCTGCACCAGCCTTCAGGGTCCCCAGCCCCGGGCCTCTCTAGCAACCCAGCACCAATCAGGACCCGGCGGGCTGTGCAGCTGGTTTTGTGCAAAGGGTTAAAAATAACTCTTCCCACTGCCCCCCCTTCCCTGTCTAAAAATGATTAATATTCTACCCAACTGTTTCCTCCTTGCAGGCAATCTGCAAACCCCGAGTGGGTGGGTATTTTCTTAGCCGTCTTCCCGGCATTATTTATACAGCGTCTTGGGCACAGGGAGAGCCTCCCAAGGTGAGACAAAAAACATATGCACTTTTAAAGCCTGCCGCCCGCCTGGGCTCAGACACACCCTGCCCCGTGCTGCCGCTGCCGCCTCACCATGTGCACACAGGGAGGAGCCCCCCAAGTGGGTCTGGATGCCGCCGTGGCGGGCAGTGTCTCTGTGCAGAGGGCCTGGCGTCCCCAGCCACCCCGCAGGTTATGCACGGACCCGCCTGGAAACTTGCTTTATTGTACCCGAGACTTTGCCCCCCACCCCCACCCCGTATGTGTGCCTCTGGCTCCCACAGTTCCCATGGAGGTGTGGCTGGAATGTCAGCCTGCCACAGCCCAAGGAGGCCGTCCAACAACCCTGAAACCGCCCGCCCGGACTGTCCACACCAAGACACAACCATGCCCGGCACGTGAGGATTCTTTCAAAGTGCCTTGTGATGGTGATGGCAGCCCGTGATTGAGGAGATCCTGGACTCCCAGACCCCACTCCCTGGTACACCCCCTCCCCCAAGAAGCAGC